TAATGCCATGCCATGCCAAGGCACAAGGACAAAGAGCTCCAGAAACCATAAGGAGCTCCCTCTGACACATGCAGGCAACCCCCCTCCCCCCTCCATCTACCTGCAAATACTGCACATAACCAAGAGGATCTACACCCGGTTGCTTGGCAACTAATCGCCCGCCCATCAACGGCCCGGCTAGGACCATCCAGATACAATAGCCCTAGCCCATTTCCTCTTCATCCAGGTGCCAGTCCCCAGTCTAAGTTACTAGTTTGCAATATTGACTACTCCCTAGCTCCCCTCCCCTTTTCCTTCTACCCCAATAGTATGTTTTTAGGGATGGACTAACAGGAGGTTTGACATGGGGATGTGGCCAGCCGAGCCTGCCCCCCCCACGCCACCTTATAAAAGGTGATACCCGACCACATGCTCTCTCTCTCTCTCTATGCCCCCTACCTAAGCTTTATCCCTCTTATGTCCAGCTTGCTATCCCAACACCCTCCCTCCATCTTTGACTCTAGGTCTGCAGCCAGAGTCCCATGTGTTTCTGCCGATTCAGGACACATTCCTTATATCTAATTCTCCCCTCCCTTCTTCCATTGGAACGGTTCACTCAGCAAGGACAGGTAACTATTGGCCAAACAATGAATACCCTGCTAATGCAAATGTGCTTATTATCTATCTTTATTTCCTAGACTCTGTATAAGAGTGTGTGCATTTGTGTATTGTTTGAATGATAAGTATCCTTCAGTAGAAGACATCATTTTATACTAATCCAGTCTCCGTGTCTATTATTGGTAACTACTGGAAGAGGTGGGACCTCTGTATACAACGGTGTTTGCTCCCTAATTTGCCTATTGCCAATTAATAATCATAACTTCCCCCATATTGATAAGAAATTAAGGCAATTTGGCTAACACTGCATTCTGAAATGATCTCTCAAATCACTACGTATAGAACCAAACATAAATGATTCCTTTACAAACTAATTATTCTAGTATAGCTGTTTTTGTTGTTCAGTCGCACAGTCGAGTCCAACTCTTTGCGACCCCATGGACCAGCTCCCGCCAGGCCTTCCGGTCTTCCGCCATCCTCTGAAGTTTGCTCAACTTCATGTTCGTTGCATCTATGACACTGTCTAACCATCTCATCCTTTGCCGTCCCCGTCTTCTTTGACCTTCAATCTTTCCCAGCATCAGGGTCTTCTCCAGTGAGTGCTCCCTTCTCATTTGGTGGCCAAAGTATTTGAGCTTCAGTTTCATTATCTGGCCTTCCAGGGAACAGTCAGGGTTGATTTCTTTGAGGATTGACTGATTTGATCTCCTTGCAGTCCAAGGAACTCTCAAGAGTCTTCTCCAGCACCATAGTTCAAAAGAATCTATTCTTCGGCGCTCGGCCTTCCTTATAGTCCAACTCTCGCAGCCATACATGACTACTGGGAATACCATTGCTTGGACCATGCAGACTTTTGTTGGCAGGGTGATGTCTCTACTTTTTATCATGCTGTTGAGGTTCGCCATTTAGGTTTTTTTATGTTGAGTTTCAAGCCAACTTTTACGCTCTCCTCTTTCATCCTGAGCAAGAGGCTCTTTAGGTCCTCTTCACTTTCTGCCATCAGAGTGGTATCGTCTGCATATCTGAGGTTGTTGATCTTTTCCCCAGCAATCTTAATTCCCGCTTGTGATTCATCTAGGCCAGCATTTCACATGATGTACTCTGCATATATATTAAATAAGCAAGGCGACAATATACATCCTTGTCGTACTCCTTTTCCTATGCGAAACCAATCAGTTGTTCCATATACGGTTCTAACTGTCGCTTCTTGGCCCTTATACAGGTTTCTCAAGAGACATGTGAGGTGGTCTGGTACTCCCATCTCTTTAAGGACCTGCCATAGTTTGTTGTGATCCAGACAGTCAAAAGCTTTAGCATAGTCAATGAAGCAGAAGTAGATGTTTTTCTGGTACTCTCTTGCTTTCTCCATAATCCAGCGAATGTTGGCAATTTGATCTCTAGTTCCTCTAATGCTAGTAATTATGATGGCAAAAATCACAAGTTTAAAATTAAAACTGGTTTCTATTAAAGGTGGCATTTATATATTTATGTTGCATTTCTATAAAAAGTATTCAAAGGAATTTATAAAACCACTGAAATACTAGAAAAGAAATAATAATACAGCCCAAGATCATGCAGCTAGCTTCATGTGGAGGAGTGGGGAATTGAACCCGGTTCTCCATATTAGAGTCCGCCACTCTTAACCACTACACCAAACAGCCCTATCTCAGTGAAGAAGAGGAAGGTAAGGACAAGAGGAGCTCTTTAGAAACTGGGATAATTTCATCATTAATACAGACCCAAAATAAAATTAACAACTTTATTTTTAAAGTGCAATACACCTTGTTCATAATAATTATATCAATACTGTGGAGATGTAGAGCTTTATGTTTGAAACTGGATCAACAGATATAGCTGAATGAAGTGGTGGAATGGGGCTCACCACTGTTGAGTGCTAACCTATAAAACAGAGCTTCTTGCAAGTAAGAACTTCACACAGAGAGAGGTTCTGAGCACCCTGTTTCCTGCAGTACTAGAATTCAACTTCAAAACAGTGTAATACATGCACCAAACATGTCGTTATGTATTGGGACAGAAACATTGCAGGACTGTGCTGCCAGAGACAGGGTGAGCTTGGAGCCAAATAACAACAGACCAACAGGATTCTGGCAGTAACCAATTAAGAGGTAAAGTTTTGTAAATAGCCTATCGTTGGGAGTGGGGTGTGTTGGGGTGTGGCCATTGCATGCAATCTAACCGAGCTGAGGCTCTGGTCTACAGTCTTGTTCTTGCTGAAATCACTGAATAAAGTAGAGCTGATCTCTAGACTGGGAATCTGTTCATCCATGGAACTCACTATTTAACACATGTATAATACATACAGTACACAATGAAATGGAAACTACCTAAAATTTTCAGACTTCTAACTGCTTGCACATCCCACCCTTTGCATATGTTAAATGCTTCAATTATATCACTGCAGCTTCCAATTATTATCTCTTTGGCTCATTTCATCTTGTACTAAGTTTTACATTTTGATTCCCTAAGAGCAGTTGGAAAGGTCTCACACCCATGCTGAATAAACTGATCAGATTTTGGATTTGATCCTGTTTTGAATCAGACTCTTTTTGTTACATCCTACCCCCTTCCACTGTGCATATACACTGAGCCCGATGGATTCATTATCTCATCCATATGAAGAATGACTCTCAAAAACTCATGCTGAGTTACATTCTGTTAGTCTTCAAAGTACTCCTGGCCTCCTGTTTCCCTTCAGAGAACCATGGGAGGGCATCACCACTTAGAAGGCCTTATCTGATTAATACCTGCCAAATTTCAGGTGGTGGAGAAATACACAGAGGCCCTATTCTCTCATGCTGACCTCAGTGACTGATTGGTGCAGGCAGGAAATTCTTATCATATCCTGAGCCCAGACCAATTAGAGGGGGGTGGTTTAAGCAAAAAGACAGCAGTTTTACTGAACCCTAAAACAACTGGCATTCAATTATCCCTCTAAGCTGTGGAGTCTTGTAAGCAAAAATTCTATCTTGTGAGCTACTGGCATTAAAATTGTGAGTGAGTAATTTGGCTACTGCATAAATTAGTTTGTTCTGGTACCATCCTTCCTGAGCTAAGACAAAAATGTGTGAGCCGGAGGCTAAAACACTGTGAGTTAACTCACACTAACTCAGCTTAGAGGGAACACTGTTGGCATTCAACGAAGCTGGTACTATATCAGAGTTATCTACTGCATGTGACAGGATCTGGATAATACTTGGTTAGAGTTGTAAATGTTGAGTGAAATTGAAATAGAAAGCGATCCTAAACAGGTGTACTCAGAAGTAAGTCTCATGCTCTATAATGGGGCTTACTCACAGGAAAGCATCAATCTTTTCTTTCCTATCAAACCTAAGCTTCTTTGTGCTGCTTTTTAAAAGGCATGATTTATAAGTTAGTTAACTTGTAAAATTAGGGGACAATTAGTACAATTGTAAAATTGTACTAATTGGCATATCTGCCAATTGGATTCTAAAAGTATAAATACCTTAGTTTTCATAGCAGGGTTTTTTTTTAATTTCAGTGCTCCCCTAAATTCCCAGTTTTTCAGTGGAAAACCTGAAAAAATGTCCTCAGACATTTTCATTCTACACATTCAAAGTGAATAAAACCTTATATTTAGAAAGCATGTAATTCATTCCAAAAGAGAAAATACTTCACAAGTTATTTTTTCAGTGTGCCCCCAGATTTACTATGTTTACTCAGAAGTAACTTCCAATAAGCACAATGGACTTTTCTGAGGCATGTGCTTAAGACTGCAAAGAGTTCAGTCAATTGAAATAGAAGTGCAGTGGCACCTTAAAGACATGCTTTAAAATGATCTCCTGCAAGTCACAGGTCACTTCCTCACAGCCTCAAAGACCACAGCCTATGTAACAAGTATTTCTGCCCACAGAGGGTACCTGAGAATGCAGGAGCAGTGTGGGTCCAGATTCGGGAAAGGGAATGTAAATATAATCCTATACAAAATCTTGCAATTTAATTTGGAATATCTGCAAGGGCAGACGTGCAAATGTTCGTAATAATCTCTCTCGCTTCTCCACTCTTCTCATACCAAGTACAAAACACAGCCTCAACGCACGCCTGGCAGCCTCGCCTTCAGACCCTGCCAGTCTATGGCGCTCTCCCGCCCAGAGCCAAGGGACTCCGTTTGCTCAGCCCAGCTCCAAACAATTGCGAACCTGGCAATGACCTTTCCCTGCTCTCTGACTTCGCATGAATTGGCCGGGGGAAAGGGGCGAAGTTATGCCTCTTGCAGAAGGACGGCATCGCGCCACAGGCTGCGCACGGAGCGCCCATGCCTGCAGCCTAAGGGGCCACTCCGCAGCTTAGTCTAGAGGCGACGCATGGACTGGACGTGAGGGGCAGAGAAATGGACACCTGTTCCAGAGCCTTTTTATTCCGGGGAGGCCAAATCGCTCTCCTTAGTCTCCACAGGGACCGTCGAAGACTCGCCAGACCGGTAAGTTAGGAACGGAGCCCCATCCTGCCCGTCGTCTGCTGCCGGCTGTGCTCAGCGCCTCACCGGGACCTACAGAGAGACTCGCCCGCCGGTGTAGGCAAGGAGCACGAAGCGGCTAATCCCCCCGCGTTTGGTGAGCAGCGCTCAGCTGCTCTCGCTGTTTACTTTGGAGGCACATGTATGCCTTTAAGGCGCCTGTTAACCTGTAGGGCTGCTTTGCTGATTTCAGGGGGGGGGAGGCAGACAGACGCTGACTTGCTGTTCCCTAGGTATGGCTATGAACTAACAGAGCTTTAATTGTTTATATTTTGTTAGGGGGAACAGATCCCTTCACTAGAATCATGACCACGATAAGCAGTTTCTTCGAGACCCTCAGATGTATAGTTTTGTTAATCTATTACTATATTGAGGCCTTCATTATGAAATTTTGTCATGCGCCTAAGAATGTTGCTGGAGAAATAGTGCTTATTACGGGATCGGCACATGGAATTGGAAAACAGATGGCTTTAAATTTTGCCAGTCTTGGTGCCATTCTGGTCCTCTGGGATATTGATGAAGAAGGTAACAAGGAGACGGCTGCACTTGCCAAAAGAAATGGAGCTTTAGCTGTTTATACCTACAAGTGTGACTGCGGCAAACGGGAAGAAGTTTATGCAGTGGCAGATCAGGTAAAGAAATGCATACACGGTTATGAATTAAATGAGCTTTATATAATGACAAGTGGAGACCCGCAAGAAACTTGCGGAATGGTTATCCTATTCCGCCTGTCTCCCTCTACCTCTCTCACACTTTCTCCCTTCTGCCCCCCCTTTCTTTCTTTCTTTCTCTCTCTCCTCCATGTATGGTTTGGAGGGTGAAGTCTATGGCATTATACTGATCTGTAGTTCCTCCCCTCCTCAGATCCCACTATCCCCAGGCTCCACCCCACAAATGTCCAGGAATTTCCCAACCCGGAGTTGGCAACACAATTTCCTTCCCACCCAACAGCCAACCTACCTTTATCTGCCTCTCTGCCTTCAGCTTTCCATCTCCACACCCCTCCCCACAACCTCTATCCAGGAAAATTACAGTCTTTCTCCACAGTGGGGACCAAAGCAGCTTACATTATTCTCTCCTCCTTTTATCTGCACAACAACCCTGTGAGGTTGGCTAGGCTGAAAGTATGTGACTGGTCCAAAATCACCCAGTCAGCTTCCACCGCAAGATGGGGATCTAAACTTGAGTCTCGCAGACCCTAATCTGAAGCTCTAACTGATGCACCGCACTGGCTTTCATAGGGTGGCTGCTGATGAACAGTAGCAAGCAGCTGGGCCTAATTGAGTCATGCAAATCAGGTGGTATCTCCCTTCCCAAACCCAGCCCTCCACAAAATCTCAAGAAATCCCCCAGCCTGGCACTGGCAACTCTTGTGAGGCCTGGCCCCATGGCTCCCTTCCTCCCTCCCTCCTTGAAAGGCCAAAAGAGGCCAGGAAAGGGCCCTTCCCCCACCCTTTGACTCACAGAGCCAGTTAGTAGCCTCCCTCCCCCCCTCCCCGAACATTCTAATCTCTCTCTCACCATTGATGCCTGGAGTTAGATCCCTGCAGAGGCCATTTCAAAAGGTACTGGGGGGAATTCAGCTGTCCCTGAAGGGATTTTTTTACTTCTTGGATTTTTCTTCAGACACAGGAAGTATACTGACTATGTAGGAAAAGCTGTTGGGGGAGAGTGAGCTTCCTGTTGGTGGAAATAAGTATCCGCACAACCTGCCCCCTGTTGGAATTAGATATATAGATAATCATTGCAGTTACTAATGGATTAGAATTATGAAAATATCCTGATGGGCCAGGTGGAATTTTCAGGATGGAATTAGGGGTGGGATTTACCTTTACTTAATATTTATTAAATTTTCCATAATTTCAAAGCTGTAAAAGCAGTTAATCATACCAAAACAAACAAAAATTATTGCCGACACAGGAATTCAGGGGTCTGCCTTGCAGTGGTTCATCTCCATTCTCCAAGGTCGGGGACAGAGGATGGCAGTAGGGGAACAACTGTCCTGAAGGCACCCACTGAATTGTGGAGTGCCCCAAGGGCGGTGCTTTCCTGATGCTATTCAACGTCTATATGCGCCCCCTTGCCCAGATTGCCCGGAGGCATGGGCTGGGGTGTCACCAAGATGCGAATGACACCCAGCTCTATCTGTTGTGGGACAGCCAGTCTGACTCCAGACGGAAGATCTGGACCAGGCATTACAAGCTGTGGCTGGTTGGCTTAGACTGAGCCAATTGAAATTGAATCCGATGAAGACAGGAGGTCCTATGCCTGAGCTGGGGTGGTCTGAGGGGAGGGGTCCCACTCCTGACCTTGGATGGGACGACGCTAGTGCCAGCACTGGAGGTTATGAGTTTGAGAGTGCTCTTGGATGCCTCCTTAACTATGGAGGCCCAGGTAGCAGCCACTGCCAGTCAGCCTTTTACCATCTTCACCTGATTAGGCAGCTGGTTCCCTTCCTCAACTGCAATGACCCAGTCAACCTTTTACCATCTTCACCTGATTAGGCAGCTGGTTCCCTTCCTCAACCGCAATGACTTGGCAACAGTGATCCATGCAATGGTCACCTTGAGACTGGACTACTGTAATGCTCTCTACATGGGGCTGCCCTTGTCGCAGATCTGGAAGCTGCAGCTAGTGCAAAATGCTGCAGCCAGGCTTCTGATGGGCCTCCCTTTGCGGGAGCACATCCAGCATTGCACTGGCTGCCGATAGCGTACCCAATCAGCTTCAAGGTGCTGGTTCTCACCTTTAAAGCCCTCTATGGTCAGGGACCAACATATCTGAGGGACCGCCTTTCCCCATATGTCCCCCAGAGAGCACTGCGGTCAGGGTCCCAAAATTGATTGGCCCTCCCGGGTCCCAAAGATGCCAGATTAGCTATAACCAAGGCCAGGGCCTTTTTGGTGGTGGCTTCGTACTGATGGAATGAGCTCCCAGCAGAGATCAGGGCCCTGCAGGACCTTTTACAGTTCTGCAGGGTCTGCAAGATGGAGCTCTTCCACCAGGCTTTCAGTTAAGGAGCCGCCGCCAACAACCACCACCAACAACTGGAAAAAATAGAGCCCTGAAGATCTAGTTCCTGATCTTACCATCTACAGTCTGTGCTTGCTGTGTATGTATGGAAGGACCAATGAGCTGACCAACAAGACAGATCACCAGATATGTTAATATGACTGTCACCATCATTTTTAAGCAATATTAACTATAGATCCTACTAGCACTTTATATTATCTCTCCTTATATATATTTGAGTTTTTGTGTGAACTCTTCCACATGCCTCCCCAGGCTTTGGGTCCCTGATCTGTCGCTCAGAGCGGCCAACCGGTGGCCCACACGGTGAGGCTGACAGGGTAAGGGTCATGGTGACAGGAAGGCCGGGGCCTCCGATGCAGCAGCCAGTTGAGCTGGAGGGAGACCCAGATGCCTCCTCCTGGTGGCCCCACAAAACTTTGCTCCACAGCCCCGCCAATCCCCACACCCCATTTGCCTCCGCACTGCAGCATGGCTGAACTCCTCGCCAGCCTCTGTTTACCAGACCTCCGCTTACCAGACCTCTGCTTACCCGCTCCACTCCCACGTTCACCTCTGAGCGGCACGGGAGCCAACAAGCCGGGGCCACCTCTCCCTCCACCACTGGCAAGCCTCGTGCACCGCGCTCAGCCCCCCTGCGCTTTATGTCTGCAGCTGCTGAGCTCCGACCAATGTGGCTGCAGCAGCAGCGGCACCGCCAACACCTCCCCGGAGGGAAGGTGGCCGTGGAGGCACCGGCCATAGCCACCAGGAGTGCACCGCAGATTGGGGGCTTCTCCTGCCACGCCCGGCAGCTGGACGCCTGCCTCTGACTGCCTGGCCGCCCCACCACCAGCACACCCATGCCAGTGGGAACGAGACGCCGGACAGCGAGGGTCTTGATGGTAACTTCCACAGCCTTCATGGCCTCAGCCCTCACCCCGGGGTCTTGCTAGAGCTCGTTGCATTGACTTCACAATGGGCCTGGCGGCTAGTAATGTTATATTTTAATGTTTTTAGAAGGTTTTATGATTGTATAATTGTTATTGATGTGTTTTATTTTTATGTAAGCCACCCTGAGCCTGCCTCGGTGGGGAGGGCGGGGTATAAATTTGAATAAATAAATAAATAAACCTAGCAATAGTACCAATCAGACACAAGTAGAATATTCAGAACAGTCAATGAAACCCCAGTCAAAGGAATGCCAACTGGAAAAGGATTTTTTACTATTTCATAAATCCAGGAGAGAGGTGACTTTTGTAGTACAGGATGCCTTTGATAAGCCAGTTTGGTGTAGTGGTTAAGCATGTGGACTCTAATCTGGGAGAACCGGATTTGATTCCCCACTCCTCCACTTGCAGCTGCTGGATGACCTTGGGCAAGCCATAGTTTTGTCAGAGCTGTTCTCTCAAGGACAGTTCTGTCAGAGCTCTCTCAGCCCCACCTACCTCACAGGGTGTCTGTTGTGGGGAGGGAAAAAGAAAGGAGTTTGTAAGCCACTCTGAATCTCCGAGTGAAGGGTTGGGTATAAATCCAATCTCCTCTTACTCTTCTTCTTCTTCCTCCTCCTCTTCTTCGTACTCTTCTTCTTCCTCTTCTTTTTGCTGGCATCTTAATTGGCACCTGGGTTCATATGGGAATTGGTCAGGCCATGAAAGCCTTTGAAATTTACCTAACATCTTGCATATGCCATAGGAGCAAAGGGTATCTAATGTAACTGACACAGAACATGTTCTATATGAATAGCTTCCCAACACTCTCTTGGAAAATAGCAGTTGCATTCAGCACTAATTTTATTGTTTAATTAAGGCTGAAGATTGCGGAAGTATCCATTAGTGTAGGTAGGTCAGAGAATATAAATGCATCAAGAAATGAAGAAAATTTATGATGCACCACACATAATTTGCACTCTTGAACAATACCAGCCTGCTTCTCAAAAGGCAGATCTATACCCAGGAGCACCCAAGAGTTTTCCACTGATGTCACCCACTCCAGAACACAAATATCCCTCTGGCACATCACCTGCATCTTATCCTCTTGTCTGGATTCTACTTAATCAAGGCTTCCAGGCACTGGTATAGCACAAAAATCCCTGGTTCCAGTTGCTTTGTTAATGAAATACAGAACTGGTTTCATCATCACACTGATAACATCCAACTACAAATGTACAGATGGTCTCACTCAGCTGCTTTGTACGACTGTTAATACCAGCTGTTCCACCAGTCTGTGCGGAGCACAAGTGGACTTAACTGCAATCAGTCTTGCCCAGTGGTTCCCAAAGTGGGGTTACCTAGAGGTGTGTTAAGAGAAAAGAGGCACCACCAGGAGGTGGGCCTCTTTGACCACATTGTTCATTTATTTTCAATTGACCAGGCTATGGCATCAAGCTGGCATCAAGCTGGCAAATGGCATTCCAGGTTTCTGCCTCTGCATAGTGCTGAAATCCGGTGGACATACCACAGTTTTTAGTAAATACACCACCAGAGCTCCCTTCAGACTGGTATAGCATGTTTTGAGAAACTCTTCACCGTGTGTTTTTTGTCTCTGTCATTTTCAAGTTTTTGCTGTAAGTCCTCAGCATAATAGTGTTGAGTGTGGTATTTATTTTCCTGTGTTCTTGGTTACTGTACCTGTTGATTATGAAGTGCACTTTTTAGCTATATATTATTTTTGTCACAGTCTGCTCAATATTAATATTTCTAGAGTCTTCTTCATGGTCTTTGTGCAGTCCCACACTTGGGGTACTGCACCTGCACTGGAGCTTGTAGAGCTTGTAGAACCAAACCTCAACACTTTTGGCAGGCTTTCTTCTCTGCTCTGGGGAGCAGGCCTCAACTGTGCACGCCTGGAGCTGAGGAGAAAGCCTCCCCCCACTCAGTTCCTTTCTAACTGCCAAACTGATCGCACATATTTCCAGTGTCTACTCACACCATGTTTTCTCACCCTCAACACTTCTTGTGATATAACCTGCTCAAAGTCATCCAACACCTCATCCCCCACCTCCACCGCTGGGAGGTTTGGTGCTGTCCAGGAGTTTGGCAGCGTCAAACTAGGTGAAAAAGGACAAAACCATGAATTGGACATTGAGGCCAAGATCTGCAGGTTCAAAACTGAAAGTACCAAAACAAAAACTGACTCCAACACAAGTACCCTGAATAAGCATTACAGGACTTTTGACTTCCACACCCTATGCTTGAGAAGGCCTTTTGGAGGCTCCACACCAGCAACAGCAACCTGTGTTCCAATTGGTACATCACAGAAACAGTTCTACTGGAACAGCAGGCTATTGCTATTATTTCCCACTCCCCATCTCTCAGGTCAGATTTTTGGGCTACCACTAGAAATGCGGAGCAGGACCACACTCCAGGGTCTCCTGACAACAGTTGATAAACTGATTGCGGGACCATTCCCGATCTGACTATTACGCGCAGGCCAAGCACTCTCGATCTAGATCCACCTATCATCAGAAACCTGCTGACCAATACCAGTACTCTTCAGAATCAATGTCGCCTCCAAGATACCACTATGGGTCCCGATTCCATTCATGCAGATTGTACTACATTCGGTCCCAATCACCCTCTCAATCACCACCCAGGCGATTATACAATTCTGGATCCCAGGATGTACACCATTGCCATCGATCACACTCCCAGGATTCATCCAGGAACCATGGTGATCGACACTCTCAATCCTGGCAAACTTCACAAGATCACAAAAAAAACCCATGCATGGAACACAACTGCCCATAGAGGGAATCTCTTCGATACCACTGCACTGAGTTCCAACTTCGCTCTCAACATTAACCTTGATAGCTGCCTCCAGCACTGAACAAGCCTCTTGGGACATTCCAGTGTTTGAAGAAGCTAACCACATATCTTCGTTGGAGCCACCCAACATGGGTTCCAATGGGTCAGAATCAGGGCATGAGGATTCAACTCTTCAGCTGGTCGAACTTGAGGCTAGCTGCCTGGGAACAGTTTCACCCTCTGAGGGGGTCTAAAGCATTTCTACAGCTTTTGGAGAGGATGGCAGCAGCCCTGCAGGTTCAGCTCACCTCTGATACACCAAAGGTGATAGATTTGGTACATAAAATGTTGCAATCATACCTACCCCCTGCAGCAGTGTTTCCAATGCTTCCAGTACACCCCGAGACCCTTTAGGAGAACTGGAAAAAGCCAGTGTCCACGCCTCCAATCTCCAAAAGATATGAAGCCATGTATTGGATGCAACCTACCAACGCTGAGTTTCTCTTCTCAAATCCTCAGCCGAACTCAATAATTGTACATTCATCCCCCAAACTGAAACAGGCATGCAATCTGGCTCCCCCTGATAGGGAGGGGAGGAAGACTGATACTCTAGCAAAACAGGTCTACACTCTCAGAGCTATGGTACCCAAACTGCAGACCTACTTTTCTTATTTCTCAGTGTACAATCTCCACTTGGCAATTTAAATTGCCTCCCAACTTCCTCATCTGCCCTCAGAACCCTTGGCCATCACCACACCTCTGGCCCAGGAGCTCTGCAGGGTTTCCAAGCAACAGATCTCCACAGTTTGACACTCTGTCACCCATTTATCTAGGACACTGGTTACCTCTGTGGCCCTTTGCCATCATGCATGGTTGCATTCAACATCTCTGCAACCAGAAATCAAAACAAAGACCTATCATTCAACGGCGATGGATTTTTCCACATGTCCATGGATAAAACCTTAACATCAGTAGATGATAGCCTTAAGAGGGCGAGAAATCTGGGCATCACACAACAGGGGACTCAATGCCAATTTAAGTCTAAAACCTGGAAGTCCTCTGGCAGAGATTGTCAGCATTCCCCACAATCCAGTGACCACTGGAGGAAAAGGTCTTTCTCTATGAAGGCTACTTATCAAATGAGGCCAAAACCATCTTCATCTTCCAAGAAACCTTCACAACAGCCCAAGCAGTCACTTTGACTCCACTCTGCACCATCCAAGACCCACTCCAACTATGATTAACTCACCCATAGGGACCCAACTCCATCCATACCTGAACTGCTGGGAAAACATCACAATGGACAACTGGGTCCTCACCATCATCAGGGTGGGGTTCACCACAGAGTTCAATTTCTTACCACAGATGCTACACTTTGTTATAACAACCCCATCACTGGTACTCCTCAAAGAAATCAGCACCCTCTTAGCCAAAGAGGCTATCAAACCTATGCCCCAGGCTGAATGAGGAGCTAGAGAATATTCAAGGCATAAAAATAATTTAGATGATATTGTAATTGTGGGAGAACGATACAGAAAAACAGAAGTTATACAAGATCATGTCAAAAAGCTGTGTGCCTTCTTGGAACAATACAGAGAACAGAATATAAAACTAAACCCTAAGAATGTTAGGCTAAGACTTAGACAAGTGTCTTATATTGGATACCCCATGAAAGTAAAGGGTCTGAAAATTGACCCTGAAAAAGCTAAAACCAGTTAAAGAGATGCTGAGATCAGTGAATGTGAAGGGTCTCCAAAGATTCCTGGGAATGGGCTAGCAGATTACTGTAAACAAGGAGCTAGCATATTACTGTGAACCTGTCCAACAGCTGACACACAAAAATGTGGAGTGGGACTGGGCAGAAAGTCATCAGGAGGTATTTGAGAAGGTAGTGGACACAATAGGAAAGAGCCCTGTAGAGTACTGCAGTCCAGGTGAGCAGCTGTGTGTATGCATATATGTGGGAAGTAGGGTTGCCAGATGGTTTCTACAAAAATACTGTACATGCTTCATAAAAATTTGTTGACCATGTGGAAACCAAATTTGTTTAATATCCATATATAGTTTTCTTAACATTATAGAAGGAAAGCTGTATCAATATATGTGGAACTGAGCAAGTTAGGAAAGTAGACAGGAAAAATAACTCAGGGACACAGAGGAAGGTAGAATGTAAGGGGAAAACTACAGGAAGTGACTCAGAAAAGAAACAACAAAGTCCGAGTCCAGTGGCACCTTTATTAAGAACAGAAACTAAGGGCACAGCAATACATATGACATCAATACAAAGTGAAATGCTGCATAAGTTCACCCAAAGAAATTAATGCTGAAATCCAACTTCCATGTTGTTTATAATTCTTGTATTTCAACCTTTATTAAGACTAACAAAATTTTATTCAAAGTGTAAGTTTTTGTGTGCAGCAAATTAGCATGTAAATGCAAGAGTTAACAAAAAGATGTGAAAATGAAGCTAGAGTCCAGTCTTGGGGATACTGCTGGACTCTAGCTTCACTCTCACATCTTTTTGTTAACTCTTGCATTTACATGCTAATTTGCTGCTATCCATTGATCATACTGGCCATCTGATCCAACTTCAGCTCTGCATATGCATCTTGGCTCTGAGTGGCCCCTCCTAACGGCCGCCCTCCACTCTCTTTTTTTCCTGTAAGTAATCCTTGAGGAGATTTTGTTCCATTTGTCTGAAGAAGTGTGCTTTGCACACAAAAGCTTACACCTTGAATAAAACTTTGTTGGTCTTAAAGGTGACACTAGACTCAAACTTTGTTCTCCTGCTTCAGACCAACACGTCGACTCACCTGATTTTTTCTTAGTAGAAAAGAAAGATAAAGGAGTTCAGGAGATAGAGTCAGATTTGACTTTTATTATCCTACTAGAAACATTGTTATCTTTTTATATTATTATATGTATGCTGTTTCTATGTCTTCTTTTTGTGTTAATTTAAATAAAGTTTATTTTTTTAAAAAGAGACTAATAGTTGCATTTGGGATATTAAATATTGATACAGACTCATTGCAAATTGAACCAATAGACACAAAAAACTTCTATGTTAAGAACATTTTGGATACAGTAAGTTAAATCACATAAACTTTAAAAGAACAGTTTTTTACATTTCCATTTTTGTTTTAGGTTAAAAAAGACGTTGGAGATGTTAATATTCTAATCAACAATGCTGGTATTTGGGCTGGAAAGAATTTCCTTGATATTCCAGACTATAAAATGGATGAAACTTTAGATGTGAACTTCAAGGCACATTTCTGGGTAATCATTTTTTATAGATAACCATGAAACTACTTTGAATTCTTATTAAAAGTTAATCATGAATTATTGGAATCTGGCTACTTTTTAGAAATGTAGATTTAGCATAAGCTATTGAAAACCTAGGAATTCTGTCTTTTCACAAGTGCTGCGGTTTTCTTTGTTCCTACTTTTGCTGTGTGCGTCTTATTTATTGTCTGTTCCCCTAATCCGAATATAAGATAAGAAGATGGATAAAAATTGATTTTACAAAATGAATTTGTGTTTTGAAATTCAATTATTAATGCTTTTTTTTAAAATGTATTTTTTCATTCAAAATCAAACCTGAAGTTACTGCAAACAGTTACTGCATACACTGAATTTATGATACTTTATGAATTTATGGGAAATTGTTTTTCATTGTAAAGAAAAACTCTGGGGAAAACGTCTCTATCAGTCATCATATAACAAAATAATATGTAATTTATGTATTATAGTTTTATATGGGACTAGAGACTAGCAAGTCACCACAGTGGCTTGCCTGTTGATTCATCTGTATGGCCTTGTATCTATGATCTATTCAGTAATACTACCAGCCATTGCTTCTGGTTGATGGGGTGGGGTGAAACAGAGCAGTTGTATGGCAAAGGAAAAGGGACAAACTAAAGCAGAAAGGAGCACTAAAGAAGATGCAATTTTTTGATTCCTACCAGCATTCATCTACAAAAGTCTATCATAGTTGCAGACTATAAAGGATATCTTGTTTATAATCATAATCATTGTCATATAAAAACAGTATTGTATATCATCTTCTGAAAGTAAAAATAGTCAAATGGGAAAAACTTTAATGTATCCTCGGAAGTTGCATAAAGATTCTCTTCAGTTTTAAGTCAATATTTTAAGGTTCTAACAATAAATTAATAGATACTTTTATTTAGGAAGTATCCAAATTATAATGGAAAATGTTAGTTTACATCAGCATTTGGGGGTGATTTAAATAATTATTAAAATTGCTGATGTAAATCGCCTTACTGAAACTGATTCACCTTGGAATTAAGAATTCTTAAACCTCCAGAAATGTGTTGTTCCTAGGGTCTGATCTGAGGGATTCCATGTTATGATATCTATATATATCATCCAGACTTTGTTTCTAGATGTGGCCCATCTTTTATGTAAATGGGCACACACCTGAAAATAGTAAACTTTTTAAAAATGTAAATTCAAAACCTGGTGTAATAATCAGGTATGTCAGTATACCTGCCTACATTGTTGGAATAATGTGCCAGTTGTATAGGGTGTCCCATAAAGTTTCTGTAGCAACATCAGAAATTGTTTTTTTAAAAAAAATGCCTAATAGTATGGGTTTTATCACTGTGTCACAGACTTGCAAAGCCTTCCTACCATCCATGATTGCCTGCAACCATGGACATTTGGTTAGTATTGCGAGTCAAGCAGGAATGTGTGGGGGCAATAAACTCTCAGGTCAGTATACTGTGGATCTACTTATTATGCATGTAGCTGAATGGAGAAACTACTTAAAATGTTCTGGTTGGATATATTTGTACTTGACAATAACCAGTTCTCAGCACATGAAAATCAAAGGTGTGCCAACTTATAAGAGTACTTTTCAGGAGAAGGAGCATATTCAGGTAAAATGTACCTGTGTAGCTAAAGGCTCTACTGATGTGCAAGTGAACTTGCATCCTAGCTCCTACTCACTTGGGGGTCAGTTCAAACACACAAAATAGAATGAGGAAAAACCGTTCCTCAACAACTACTTTGCACTGTAGTCCTGTTATTCAATGACACTGGTAGTAGAGATCTTCATATGTTCTTAATCTATCAAAGGATAAAGGTAGTTTCTACAGAATCATCACAGGAACAGCATAGTTACAAGTATGAAACCAACAAGCATTGCAGGGGTCACCATTTTCTCCTCTCTTCCCTACAAAAAAATTTCCTGCCTTCCCGAGTCTCTCTCTTTTCCTCTTTCTCTCTTTTCTGTCCTCCTGGTAACCTCCTGCTTCCTTCCCATTTACCAACTAACCTTTCTTTTATCTGCCCCCCCCCAAGCTTCACCTTTTATTTATTATTTATTGACTTCATTACCTCATCTTTCTCCCCTGTTTTATCCTCACAAAAATCTTGTGAGATAGATTAGGCTGAGAGAGAGTGGCATAAGGTCACCCAGCCATGTGGCATAAATTTTGCAGAGGCTGCCTATTGGGCCCAGGCAATTTGTGTAACATCAAGTTGTCCAGTAGCCACCACTGCACCTGGGTGAGTCACACAAATTGCATGGTGTTTGCTTTGAGTGTTTGCTTCTGAGCCTGGCCCCACTGAGTCCTCCCTCAGGGGTGGACTTGGAGGCTAGAATAGTTGTGAAACTAACAAAAACTAAAGTTTAAAGGCTGGCAATGTAGATTTGGTTGCTTAGCAACCCCCACAGTGGCCATTGAGATCTCAGAGGGCATTCATTTTTTTAAAGGTAGAAATATTGTTTCTGTTATTTGGGGAATTATAATACAGAGAAGCATTACTGAGACCTTGGTGAGCAAGGTGGACGCAAGTGACTTTTTGACTTTTTGAATGTTTAGATTCAATACCAGTAATAGCACAATACTCAAAAGGTAATTAACAGAACACCTACATTGCTCAAAGCAACTTTTCCTAACTTTGATGTAACAGCACTCTTCCTTCTAGAAAAGAAATGACAGACTCTAGGGCTTGGCTGTTGGGTTTGGGCTGATGGAAGGTATACTGTAGCTAGTGCTAACATTTCTATTGTTCCCCACCTGAGGAGAGAAGATTAAGCTCCCACACAAGCTACAGAGTGATTTCTCCCCCTCCCTGAAAAGAGGAGGCATGGGAAGGACATTTTCTGGCTCTATCTAGTGCTGCAAGCCGGGGAGTTAGCTTTTGCTGATTCATGTTGTGTATGTGTATGTTTTCTTTCTCATCTCACTTGGGGAGTTGCTACCTCACCTCACCCACCTCCTCTGAGCTGGCTGCCTCTTCTGGCTCACATCTGGGGAAAAGGAGACCTTTCTATCTTTCACATACACTCTGTCTCAGTGTGAGGTAGTGGCAAAAAAGAGTGGGGGGAAGGGGAGGGCACAGGTCAAGCAAGTGCTGGAAGGGGACACAATGAAAAACTTAAATTACCTTCATGTCCTATAACCATCAACTCAAGTGTAGAGAAATTCCTGGTTGGCCATCTGGCTGGGATGGGGAAGTTGTCACTATTCCAAAATCAATGCAGCAGTTAGTTTCCAAAATTATTTCAAAGGGCATTCTTCCCCACCCCCAAACTAGTATGGTTTTAACCATTCATCCCCTGGGCTTCCTCCCACTTGAAGCCCTCACTGCCCTGACTCCAGAGGAAACAAGCGTGGGTTGGAGTGGTGGTTGCTTTGGCTTAGGAAGCTTCATTGTGTAAATATTTATTTCATTTATACCCCCCCCCATTTTTCCCTAATGGGGACCCAAAGGGGCTTACAACATTCTACCCTAATCCATTTTATCCTCACAATAACCTTAAGAGATAGGTTTAAATCCATGAGTAATCTATATATATAAAAGAAAGTCCCCTCACCATAAAATCAATGCCCAGGTCAAACCCCTGGACCTAGAAACACGAAGTTTGGGGAGAGCACTCCTACCATGGTGTTGATGCACACTAAAAGGGGATTTTTAGAAATTCGACCCCTAAGGGGGTCAAAAAGGGTAAAATGTGCTCCCCCCATTGCTTCCTATGTCGCTGCCAGGCTGCTGCCTCCTTGACCCCCCCACTCTCTGATTGGTCACCTGCAGAGCTCAGTGTTCTGAGGTTAAAAAAACCCAGTTACAGGAGACTGCAGAGCACTAATGACAGTTGAGGAAATCAGGAATGGCCAACAACCTGTGAGGTGCAGCAATTCATGACTTCAAACATAACCCCCACTTCCTACACCTGACAGGTGGTTGTCTGTCAGGTGCAGCAGTGGGTCCACCAGGGAGCTTGCCCCAGCAGTAACGCCTTAGTGATCCTGCTGGCCCAGTCTCCACAGTGGCTTCTAATACTCCTCTTCCCTCCCCTTCCTACACTGGACAGGCAGATACACCAACGCTACAAGGAGAAGGCAACTTGGGAATGCGGCAAAGACATTTGCACAAAGTACTCCTGCAGGGCACTGAGCTGTGCAGGCAAAGTACCAGCAAGATCAACCTGAGGTGCTCAGAATAAAACAGTCTCCATATGAGCAAAACAATCCAGGAACACAAGTAGAAAGGCCATCACTTTCGTGGAAGGTGGCAGGAGTTGACTTAACAGACAACTACTTCTTAAATGGACAGTTCTATGTCACCTGCTCCATAGTGAGCTCCCCAAGCAGACTGGTGAGGCCTGAGGGCAGAACCACCAATGTGGTCTACAGAGAGGTCTTTCAGTAGAGTGGGGGGGAAACAGTACGTATGTCTCACTTCATTTTTTACACTACAATCTTCTCCATTAGAATTCCTACAACAAATGTTACATTTCAAACTTCACATCATCAGTGTTATAACTGGATTTACAGAACTTAAATACCATAGCGAAGCACGGGTATCAGGCTAGTGTTAGAATAAAGAAGGTGTGGTCCCATCCTTGGCTTTTCCCCAGGGTCCCAGAATTACTAAACTGCCCCTGCCAGCATTGGTGTGTCGTGAACCACACAGAGCAGCGATGGCACTTCAGAGCCTGCCTCTTCCTCTGCCTCCTGCTTGGTGAGCTTCCTTGCCACGTGGCCCCCACATGTTCAACAATTTTTAATGAGCATGTCTAGTATTTGGCAACCCTATCTCCCACATGCATGCATACAGACAGACCAGAGTTGCCAGGCTGCAAACTGCAGGAGGGTTGGAGATGGGGACCTTGGGTGCTGTAACATCGTGTGCACCATCTCACTTCTGGGGGAAACCTGTAAGTGATGTACTATTGCTCTAGGAACTGCCGGAAACTCTATGGTTCCACTATAACATTTCTGGAAATTCCTAGAGCTACTGCACTCTGCTACACTATGGGTTGTCCCCCGAAGTGTCGCAGCAATGAACATGACGCTGAGGGTTTTAAAAATTTTCTCCTGCTGCCACTTGGAGCAGCAGTGGGCAAGGCTGAGGGGTGGCCCTTACGCACACAAACACCCAGAGCTATTTAAAAAACTTACTGACTTCAGAGGATTTTATACTTTTCATAATTGTCCTCTTGTGGTTTTTAATCTTTCTCCCTCCATTTTTCAGAGTATGCGGCAAGCAAGGCTGCAGCAATTGAATTTTTAGAGTCAGTTGCTTTTGAATTGCAGGCTGCAGGAAAGAATGGCATTAAAACTACTATCGTCTGTCCATATTATGTGCATACAGGTCTTACTGTTGGTGTAAAAACGACGTAAGTGTTGGGTTTTGAAGAACTGTTTATTTACAGAAAGTTGTAATTTAATAAGCTTACTGAAAATTCTTTGTGTCCAGAGCTAGTGTACAGACATCCACAGATAGATTTGACTTTTTCTTTTTGAATATGAGAAAAGGAAAACAGCCTCTATGTTCAAAAGAGGTTAGTCATGCTCTCTGGGGGAAGGGAAGTGCCCAGAAGTTATTCAATTCTTTAGACCCAGGTTAGGGGTGTGCAAAAAAAAAAAAAATCGGCCGATTCAGATTCAGTCGAATTCAGCAGAATCAATTTTGGCTGACTCCCGCATGTCAGTTTCGTCAGTAGGAGCCAATTCGGGAGTCTTTCGGCCCGCCGAATGTCAATTTCAGCCCCATTGTATCCTATGGGCCATTGAAGTCAATGGCGAAAACATAACATATATTCTGGGGCCTGGAGGGGAGGGGGCTTGAGGGAGAGACTCCAAACATGCAGGGTAGCTGCTGGAGCCTCTCCCCAAGATACCAACCAAGTTGCAAGAGCATTGGACCAGGAGGTCCAATTCTATGGTCCCTCAAACAGGTTCCCCTATCCCCTCCATTGTTCTCTATGGTGGGGAAAAAGGATCTTTTCCCCACCATAGAGAACAATGGAGGGGATAGGGGAACCTGTTTGAGGGACCATAGAATTGGACCTCCTGGTCCAATGCTCTTGCAACTTGGTTGGTATCTTGGGGAGAGGCTCCAGCAGCTACCCTGCAAGTTTGGAGCCTCTCCCTCAAACCTCCTCCCCTCCAGCCCCCAGAATATACCCTATGTTTTCACCATTGACTTCAATGGCCCATAGGATATAATGGGGGCGAATTGCCACCGAAATTCGGCGGCAAGTCAATTCAAATCAGAGAATCTGAAACGGCCTGCAGCAGCCCAAAAGGGGTCCGAATGGGCCATTTTCGGGGGTGCATTTGGTTCAGACGAACAGAATGCACATCCCTAACCCAGGTAATGCTCAGACTTGTCTAATCAGTATTTCCCCCCCTTCAGACGGCCCTGTCTTCTTCCAATCTTGGATGTAGAGTATGTTGGCAGAACAATTGTGGATGGTATTCGGAAGGACAAGTTTTATTTGTTTCCATTGCCAATTACAACCTTTTCTGTTCTAAAAGTGTAAGTATATGGCATTTCTCTCACTTCCTCTCTCTGACTTGGAACACTGTTGGGTATCCTTAAAAGATTTTTTTTTGGGGGGGGGTAACTAAAAGTCTAAAAATTAAGCTGCAGTATTCTTTTATTTTTTGTTATATTAAACTTTATGATGAAGAATCAGCTTTTCAGTTTTTGTATTCCATTGATGCATCTATTGAGTTCTGTGGAGCGAATAGTAAATAAATACATATAGAATTTGTTAATGACCGTCACCATATTTCATAAATTCGTTCACCTTGTGCACAGATTCATATGTTGCCATCTAGCTTCCAGTACGCATCCTGACTCTAACTAGCCCTTCCTGGCAACTAACCCACCCCCATATGTAATGGTTGAGGAAATTCTCTTTCACTGTTATCTGCAGAAGTGTGCTTGTACACGAAAGCTTATACCTTGAATAAAACTTTGTTGGTCCTAAAGGTGCCACTGGTCTCAGATTTATGAAAATAAATTTAATGGCGGTTACCATATTTTATAAATTTGTTCACCTTGTGCACAGATTCATATGTTGCCATCTAGCCTCCAATTTGGTTGGCCTTTCTTTAACTCTCCATTTTGAAATGTGCAACCAGCTTCTTTCTGTTAACAGGCCAAGTAAGCAAGTTTATATCTATTAATGGTCACATAAAAAGACCACGAACAGGTAGATTGTGCCTAATTTCATCACACTGACACATAGAATAAATAGTTCAAGAGAAAATAGGAACCGCACTCCATACTTGATAAGCAGACCATTAGTTAAAGCCTTTTGGGTGACTGTTCACAGTGCTGTTAGCCTAAAAGAATCCTGCTGTGCTGACAATTACTGCAGGGAAAGTGCCATACCCATATTAGCAGTTCCCAAAAATGGTCAGTCTGCATTTAAGGCTGGTTAAATTATATTGCTGATATAGCAAAGACTACCTCCATACCTAGAAGAAGTAGAAGAAGAGATTGGATTTATACCCCGCCCTTCACTACCCAAGGGAGTCTCAGAGCAGCTTACAAACTCCTTTCCCTTCCCCTCCCTACAACAGACACCCTGTGAGGTAGGTGGGGCTGAGAGAATTCTGACAGAGACTGCTCTTTTTCAAGAACAGCTGTGCCAGAGCTTGTGACTGACCCAAGGTCACATCAGCAGGTGCAAGTGGAGGAGTGGGGAATCAAACCCGGTTCTCCCAGATTAGAGTCCGCACACTTAACCACTACACCAAACAAACTCCTTTCTCTTCCCCTCCCCACAACAGACACACTGTGAGGTAGGTGGGGCTGAGAGAACTCTGACACAAACTGCTCTTTTTTCAAGAACAGCTCTTGTCAGAAGTACAGCTTGCCCAAGGTCATCCAGCAGGTGCAAGTGGAGGAGTGGGGAATCAAACCCGGTTCTCCCAGATTAGAGTCCGCACACTCAACCACTACACCAAACTGGCTAATGAGCTCCTGCATCTCTTTTTCTACGAAATGACCCCTGACCGGCACCTTCATGGCCAACCAACAAGGCAGAGCCAGGAGTGTCTCTTAACCCCAGTCCCCAAGTGACCGAAAGGGTGACTTTTGCACGAAGGGGCCATCACAAGCCCAAACCAAATCTGAACCACTCTCTTGAGACACTCCGCTTTCCAACGGAGATCATTACAGAGGGGAGCCGTGTTGGTTTGCAGTACGACAGCTAGATTCCAGTCCAGTAGCAATTTAGAGACCAATAAGATTTTTTTTGGGGGGGGGGTTAGCTTTTGAGAGTCAACGCTGTCCGACGAACGGAGCTCTGACTCTTGAAAGTTCATACCCCCCCCCCAAACTTTGTTGGTCAAAAGCAAGAAACTGCAAGTAGATCAATAGGTACCGCTTCGGTGGGAAGGCAACAGTGTTCTGTGCGCCTCGGCGTCTAGTCATGCTGACGACATGGCCACGGAAAAATCTTCAGACAGCGCTGGCTCTTCGGCTTGGAATGAGCACCGCAACCCTAAGTTGGATTCGACTAGCTTTCAAGCAAGGGAAACCTTTACCTTCACCGTACAGTGCCACTGGACTCGAATCTAGATGCTTTCCAACGGAGGCCCCTCCAGCCACTGAACTTCCCGTAATCAAGCAAGGTGAAGGTGAGCTCCGTGCAAACCACCCCTTGAGAGGCAGCTGACCATCTGCTCCATAGCACAGTCATTTAGAGTGTCTAGAAACTCAATCTCTTTTTCCCGGCTAGAACACATATTGACCCAATCAATGTGTGGGTAGTTAAAATCACCTATTATTACACAGTGTTTTTGTCTAGTTGCTATCTTTAAGGCATTCATCATTTTATAATCCTCCTCTATCTTTTGATCTGGTGGGCGATAACAAACTCCCAGTGTTAAGTTTCCTTTTGGCCCCCCTATTTCAACCCATAGAACTTCCAGAAGCGAATCCAATTCACTTAGCCTCTCAATCTTTCTAGACTTTATACCCTCTCTGATATAGCAAAGACTACCTTTATACCTAGAAGAAGTAGAAGAAGATATTGGATTTATACCCCGCCCTTCACTACCCAAGGGAGTCTCAGAGCGGCTTACAAACTCCTTTCCCTTCCCCTCCCTACAACAGACACCCTGTGAGGTAGGTGGGGCTGAGAGAATTCTGATAGAGACTGCTCTTTTTCAAGAACAGCTGTGCCAGAGCTTGTGACTGACCCAAGGTCACATCAGCAGGTGCAAGTGGAGGAGTGGGGAATCAAACCCGGTTCTCCCAGATTAGAGTCCGCACACTTAACCACTACACCAAACTGGCTCACCAAACCTACCTCTTCCTGGACTGGCTACTCCCCTGTTATTTGGAAATATTCCCAGAACCCTGGGCTTCCCCTCCTCCTTACCTTCAACTAATCAAATATCTGTAAGCCCCTTTATCCCGCTTCCCTATTCCTATACCCAGGAAGAAAAGAATTGTTTCTTTTGGACTCAAGCCTCTGGCCCTCTGGCCCCATATCTTGGTTGTGCTCTGGTAGTTTACTGTGCTAAGTCCTCCCTGACATGGTCTATGGGTACTTCTCCCCTACAAAAACTTCCTTATTGATGCTCGTGTCTCTGCCTGCCTTTGAAATACAGTTACATGTGGTTCCAGCTGCTGTTCCTCTGGATCTTTTGCCTACCACCGCTCTGGATTATTTGCTGCCTAGATTCTTGGACCTTCCCTGCCTTGGGAGCTGAATCCTTTCTGAACTTGTTCAGATAACCATCTGTGGAATCTGCTTTCCCCTCTTATTATACTTCCTTGGACCATTTGCCCACCCTCTTGAGTGCAGTACACTGTACAACACTGTGGTTGTTTGGAATATTTAATATGGATAGTGTTGGGGATTATCCAGGGATGTTTGATATTTTTATTGCTTCAGTTTACTGATTCTGTAGCCCAATTTTTTACATTATTTCCTGCAGTCAACTTTGTTTTGTATTTCGCTTAGTACTCCTTCCAAGCTTTTAAAGAAGCCTTGGTTTTTTTCCAGCATATCCCTTTATAGTTTGAACACGTTGCTTCCAAGAATAAGGATGTTCTGTTCATTTAAACTGGGTGTGGCAGAACGTGCCTGCTCTGGCCTGCAGGCCCTGTTCTGCCTTGCCCTTCTAGGGGTTTCCAACTCGCTGGAGGGGCTTTTACTTCTCTGTATAATAGCCCACCACCACCACCTGCCCTTTTCACAAGGAATTGCCCACTGGGAGGGACAGAGCTCCCAGCTCCTTTTCCAAGATCTGAGGCTTTGCCTCTGTGTCTCCTGCTGCCCATCACCTGGTCCCCATGGGGACAGATTACTGCCTTGCGTGCCCCTGGGGGAATAGCCATTTGCCAACTGACTGCCTCCCCCATTCTGGTGTTCCTTTTAAAATACCATGTCCGAGATGGTGGGGAATCTGTGTGGTATAGAGAACCACAGCCAACATCAAAAGTGATGAAGTATTTATTAAAAAGAAAATATTTATAAGTATACTTTTATCACAGCACCAGATTGAGCAAGGAAACCAAAAGAAATGGGTAAAAATGGAAATCCTCTGTCCTTCTCACTATACATGCCCTATCTTATGTTAAAATAGGACAGGATCCTTAAGAAGTTACAAACCCCTACAAAGTCATTTTTAGCTTGAAGATCCCTTCTTCTGTAGGCGAACATATGGTCAATGGCTGCTGTCCCTCATGTTGTCTGCATCCCAGGAAAAAGAGAACTTCCTCCTGCTGCAAGTAGATTTTATCATATCTGTTTACAAGGGACCTGCTAGGACAGGACAAAGAGGTGCTTCCTGGTTATCTCCATAAGTCTCTTTCCTGGAGACTATCTAGCGTTCTAAACCTTCGAATCTATGTTCCCTGCTTGGAGAAGGGGGAAGAACTTTACCTACCCATTATCTCTCCTTCTAGATCCATTAGCATATGGATACAAGTAAGCTGGAAAGCCATTGCACCGACCCCCTGCCCCTGGCCTGTTCCCAGCCCAGGGTGGTGGGAAACTGTTAAAATGCAAAGTGGAGACTGTGCTCCTTGCCAGATTCCCAGGAGAAAATGCATTTCTTTACACTGGGTATGAAATCTAAGCCAACAGCTACTTTTGGTGGAAGAGTTAAGAGGCAGGGGAAGGAAGGAACTTTCTTCTGTATACTCAGGCTAGCTTTGCATTAATTTGGACTCAGGATGGAAAATGGGCTGTATTCACACAGATAACGTCTAGTGTATATGTGTCACACAATAACACATCGCTAGGTCTACCAGCCTCCAGGTGGGATCTGGAGATATTCCAGAATTACAGCTGATCTCCAGATGACATGATCTGGGCTGTGCAAATAAAAGCCTAGCAGGCCCAGGAAGCCTGAGTAGCAGTGGGAGGAGGCCAGGCCTACAACTCCCAGAAGTCCCTGAGAGGTTTTGGCACAGAGAAAGGGGACTTATAATAAAAGAGCTGGTATAGAAGAAGAGCTGTTCTTTCTTCCAAGAGAGCAGGGCCAGAGGGAAGGCTGCTGCTGGGAGAGA